GACAAGACCTCAGTGTTCAGAGGGAAATCTGAAGTCCCTGATGAGTCGACATGTCCTCTGATGTAATCTGAAGTCCCTGATGAGTCGACATGTCCTCTGATGTCCTCTGAGACGTCCCTGATGAGTCGACATGTCCTCTGATGTCCTCTGAGACGTCCCTGATGAGTCGACATGTCCTCTGATGTCCTCTGAGACGTCCCTGATGAGTCGACATGTCCTCTGATGTCCTCTGACTTTAACTTGATGTGTTTAAATGGTGTTTGAAGAACGTGGATGTTCTGCTCACCTTCATGTTCACGTTCAGCCTCCAGCTGATGTTTACTGAAACATAGATCCAGTTTTAGGGGTTTTGGTTGGTGTAGATAGATTTATGTAACCTTAGAAGCTCTGATGCTCCTCACTAATGTAATATTCAGCTGATTTAAATCAATAGCAGCCGTCATGCAAATCTGATGAATGAGCTTCTAATCTTCCCTCATTACCCCCCAGCTGGTGGATGAAGCTCATCACAGAAACAAACAGAAACATGAGGCGTGTTTTCACAGTCAACACACAGATTTTACTTCAGATCTGAGGTTTGAATAATATCAGGATAAAATATATCTGAACTGATGTTTCCTATCAGATAAGCTGTGATTTTTTTTCTCTTTAAAGCATAAATAAGACGACAGTCAGCTGTAACAGATGATGTAGATCCCCTCATGGTCTCATGGGTCGGACCCAGGACCTCTGGGACTTCTTGTGGTTTCTGACAAAGATGTTTGCAGTGGATCTTTTTGGTTAAACGATTTGTTTGATGTGGTCTTCTTATAAATATCTAAAGAGGCTCTTGGTTTATTTTTTGTTTCTCCACCCAAAGGTCAACAGTTCAAGCTGTAACTTTTCACCACATGGTTCTGAGAAAGAGTTTAGACCAAATACCCTGAAGGTCCACGGACCAACAGAACTTGTTGGTTCAGATTCACTGAAATTAGCAGAAAACGACACAGATCCTTTATAATAAACAGAATTCATGTGGAGCAGAAACCGTACGGAACAAAGAACAGAAATGAGTGGGAACTATAACAAAATCTTTGGTTGGAAACTTTAGTTAAACCCATAAAACCAAACAACCAGTCTGATTGGACTCCTTCTGGACCTGGTGGTTGAAATGATCCGGTTTTATTTAGGATAATGGTTCCATGTTCCCCCAACAGAACTGGCTCTCAGACAAGAACCAAACAGAATCTTAGAAACTGAAGAACCAAAACTGACAAATAAGTTTTTAACCAGAGAGAAAAGATTGTGAAGCTAAAGATGTCAGAATAAAACTGAACTTTGACTTTTTTCCACGTTTTATCTTCAGACGAAACATTTTTCTGTCGACTTGTGAAGAAACATTTCTTCATCTCTGTTTATAAAACTTCACTGACAAATTGCATTTTGAGGGAAATCCAATGCAAATGTGGCCGTACCCTCAGTCCACAGAAACCATATCCGTGTCTCCATTCAGCTTGTTTGAATGCAGCAGATGTAAACTTAGACTCCGCTGCTCGCCATGCAAATCCACAGGTGGGTCCAGTTTAAAAGGAGCGTGTGGTGAGCCGGCCCAGAAACGAAAAGCCCAAATTACAAACAGGAGAGCCTCTTCAATGCAAAACCACTGAGGATGGATGGAGTTTAGATGCAGCAACACAGACAGCCAGGTGTGTAAAACTGAAATTCACCAGCTAATTGTGTTTACAGCCTCACTTTAATTCAATGGTTTAGACTGAAGAGCTGCCACATCATTAATCTTCAGTTGTTTGTTGCTTCTGATCAAAAATCTAAATCTTTGTTTCAAAGCCTTTTGTTCCTCACTGACGCAAATTTAGAGAATTTTGATTTTAAACACAGACGGAACAAAAATTAGAGGGATATTTGTGGTAAAATAAGCTGAACCTCAGAAAACTAAACTAAAGAAACATCAGTTCCAGTCACGCTGGAACTGAAGTTTTGGCTTTAAATTAGATTGTATGATCATCTTTTATAAATGATTTAATTAGAGAATGATACACGTCTTGAGTTGTAGCAGGGACAGCTCAAACACGTTCTGTTAGACTCATCTTTCTGCACCACAAGCAGGAAAGTTTCCAAACTAAGACCTGAAGCACAAACCTGATGTAGAAACTGTTAGGATGGAGTTATTTAAACTAACAATGATTTCAAGAGAACACTTACTCAAGTTCTGTGCAGGCTCAGATCTGTTTCAGAGTCCCTTCACTTTGGATCCTGATCCCAGTTTTATACAAAGATCAGTCAGAATGTGGCTGGTCTTTGCAGGATCTTCAGAAGGTCTTTGTAGGGTCCTTACAGGGTGTTGGTGAGGTCTTTGCAGGGTCCTACAAGGTGTTGGTGAGGTCTTTGCATGGTCTTTAGAGGGTCTTGGTGAGGTCTTTGCATGGTCTTTGCAGGGTCTTACAAGGTGTTGGTGAGGTCTTTGCCTGGTCTTTGCAGGGTCCTACAGGGTGTTGGTGAGGTCTTTGCAGGGTCCTACAGGGTGTTGGTGAGGAGTTTGCATGGTCTTTAGAGGGTCTTGATAAGGTTTTTGCAGGGTGTTGGTGAGGTCTTTGCAGTGTCCTACAGGGTGTTGGTGAGGTCTTTGCAGGGTCCTACAGGGTGTTGGTG